AAAATGGGAAAACTTCATAAAGAAGGTGTTTGGGTGCCTCACGAACTCTTCTGGCGTGTAATGGACAGAATTGTCACCGGTGATGAAAAATGGATTCTCTATGTGAATATTAAATGTCAAAAACAATGGCTCAGTCCTAGACAGAAACCACTTCTGATCCCAAAACCTGGACTCCATCCACAGAAAGTGATGCCTTGCATTTGGTGGGACATCAAAGGAATAATTCATTTCAAACTCCTCAATCCACAGCAAAATGTCAATGCAGAGATCTATAGTCAACAACTGGAATGTTTAAATCAAGCCCTTCTTCAGAAATGCCCTTCATTTGGCAACCGGAAAGATGATGTTCTTCTCCATGGCAATGCACATCCACATGTGGCACATTTGACACAACACAAGATTATGGAGTTGGGTTGGGAAATACTCCCCCACCCACTATATTCTCCAGATACGGTACCATCAGATTACCATCTTTTTTATTCGCTGCAACACCATCTTAATGGGAAAACGTGTGCAAATGTGGAAGGTGTTAAAGAGCACATCAATATACCATCAGATTACCATCTTTTTTGTTCGCTGCAACACCATCTTAATGGGAAAACGTATGCAAATGTGGAAGGTGTTAAAGAGCACATCAATATGTTTTTCGCTTCATAGCCAAATGATTTCTTTAATCAGGGCATTAAAAACCTGAGACTTTCATTTAATAAATGTTTTGTTTTGATATATAAGTTGTTCGGGTATTTTCTTATAAAAAAAAAAAAGCGACATTAATTTCTTGATGACCTAATATTTGTTTTCATTCTGCCAAATAGTAATTTGTTTCAAATATTTTAACACTGTATATTTCACCAAAAAACATTAATTAAAAGCACATTCATACCACAATATCATACTAATAAAACTTAATTGTTATATGAAAATAAAAGAAGTGTACAAAATAAAAAGAACAAAACCAAGGAAGTTTCCTCTTTCAAATAATTAACCTCCAAAATAAGTAACTGCATTTAAGCACAAAATGCACACACATACACAATGTAAATGTGCAAGTTACTTCTCATTACTAAAATTTTAATTCTGTACACTATACCTGGCTTAGTGGTGAAATACCCATTTAAAACAAAGTATGAAACAGACTTATAACATTAGCATATAGTATTTTCCAAATGATAAATTTCTTCAGCTGCTTCCAGTTTGTCTTTTTAACCATATGCCACTATTTCTTAAACTTTGTGCCTTTTATATACATGCACCAATGAGTCTTCACATGTGAGGTAATAAATACTGTGGGAGAAAAAGTAAAAGACAGAAACTGTGCATCATTGCAACAACCAGTAAGTAAAAAAATGATAATACATTGAAGAAAAAACAGGTTTACATAAAATATGGAAAAGGTACAATTACAACAACCTCACATTACATGTAGATAGAATAAGTCAGAAAGAAATATAAGGAAGAAGTAAAAACACCAAAAATTAAGTATATCATGACTGGTTTTCATTCATATACATGACTGTACAGTTTATGACACATAAACCAAGAAACACCAATATACAACACATATTAATCAATACCTTCTTCAAGAGTTGCTGAGCTAGGTTGTTGTCACTATCATGATTCATTACTCTCCATGGCCTTTCTGCAATTAAAGAGCCACTTGATGACACGAGCATTTTTTTCAACAATAGAAGTCTCCAATGGACCGTGATCTCGTAAATCCTGGCCCCTGAGACCATCCTTTCCTCCACCACCATCCCATTCATCCTGGAAAGAATCTTCACTGCATACATGAGACTGATGGTCATCAGTATTAATAGAACTACCTGAGCCAAAGAACTGTGGTGGAGAAGAAGTAGTAGAAGTACCAGTGAGCTGTTTCCACACACTGGACTCCAGTCCCATGTTGTTAAAAAATCTCTCAAGTTCAGGAATGCACTGAGCAGTCATTCGTTGGGATGATGTAGGATGGTGGTTACAGCCATATCGGTACCCAATGTCTGACTTGGAACGTAATACAGGCTTTCTTCGCATACCACTATTTTCTGAACTTGGGGTGTTTAATGTTGATGTAACATTACTACTCTTTTGCTGGTTAGTCTGTTTCAATAGCTCATCAAGGTCACTCTTAGTAACATACTTTTCATTATTTTCATCACTGTAAATATCACATTTAAAAGAAGAGCTTCTGGTCACATAATCAGGTGTAGTGAAAAGCCTGGGTCTTGGTGTTACCTCAAACTTCAAATGACTTGATCCAAAAGATGATGTTCTAGAGCTTTCAGAAGGTGATTGCAAATAAGCTTGTGCAGCAAGTTTTGCTTGTGCAGGAGAAAGGTCTGGCATGCTTTTATGAATGTTATAAGATTTTTGTGTGTTTGGTTGATATGAAATCCAATTTTCCTTGGGAACTGGATCTGAATTACCTCTGTGAACTTTTGCTCTTTCTGGGGATTCAGCATATTTGTGATGGGATACCTCTGTCTCCTTCTTAAGAGTTAACTGTTCCAGATTTTCTGTCATTTGGCTTGTAGGATGGTAAGGAGAGAGTTTTTTAGGTACATGAATGTCTCTAGACTCAGATTGAGACTTGGCTCGAGCCCTGATAACTGGTCTTTGCTGTCCCACAGTTCGACAATCACCATTCAGTGTTTCATATGTATGTGAATGTTTAGATGTCCCCATGATTAAGAAGTCCAGGTGAGAGCGAGAAGAGAGTTGAAGACAGGAGCTATGTTTGAAAGATTGTTTACTATCCAGCACTCGCTCGGACTTGACATAGTTGGCTTTGCTCTCTTCCAGTCGTTCTACAGCACTTTTCCTATGAACTAGAGAATAAATGTTTGAGTTTAAACAGCTTAGTATCATAGTAAATAAGATATTTATGATCTAATATAAACAATCAAGTCCCTCATTATGTGCTACTTTTACATTGTCCTAAGACATGTACAAATATTAATGTATTTTATAAACAAAGTGTCATATAATTGAAAATGTGATGAGTTTTCATATATGTCTAAAAATTTAAAAAAAATATACTGTTATGTTCCAAGAAGATTTTAAAATTTGAAAGACAGAACTTATACACAACAGAAAACTAAAATCAACTTCAAAGATTAACCAGTTATCTTGATAAATTATTATTATTATTCACCACACTCGTCAAAAATCAAGACATATTTATATTATCAAGTCAACTGCTGATTAATACATCACAGAGATGATGTACAAGATGATCTCCATATTCTAAAGGCATTCAAGCCTAATGATGACTTTACTATAGATAATGAGTTTTAGAAAAGCTGGGATTGTTGAACATTTTTATATCAACATTTGTGCACATAATTCAAAGCAGATACAGCTTTAGAAAATAATGATTCTGCTGGGAAGAATTCTATTATAGGTGTCTACCTCAAGTTTGTAGTGACAACAGAGGGTAGCAACTGGCATGTACACAAGATACTGAAAAGTAATGTATATGGAAACTAAAAATATTAGGAAATTCTCAAAACGAAGATTGTCTGACTTCATTACAAGAGGATTGCCTAAGTTAGTTACTGCATAAACCATGATCACAGTCAACAGTTGCTGTTCAAGATGGAGCATGATTTAATGAAATGATACCTATAATTTTATGAAGTTTTTTTGCAGATATTACAATTTTGGCAGAAGAGTATTTCAGATATGTATAAAGATCAAAGTATATTTATAACCCATGAGGTGTAAACAACAACAACAAAAAACATGTTCACTGGAATAAAATTATATTCTTTTGTTTTGATTGTGATACAGGAAAACCTTTAAGTGTATTTACATATTTCTCTAAATTAGTTAAGAACTTTAAGCAATGTGCTTTTGAACCTTTTATCCACAAGTTTATTTGATCATTGAAATGTACAATTGAATTATACATAATAAATTATTTTACATGTACCTTCAGTATAAAAGTACTTACAGTTTAAGTATTAACTTAAACAACTTTTTTTAACTGTTATCTTCATGCCATTAGCATCTTCCAACCAAAGTCACCATTAAATTTAACAAATCTGGTAGTTTATGCTATTAATTAATCACATTACCAACATGTTTCAATTTGCAGTTTTAACTACTGTACAATTCTATACTATGCTAAAATTAGGATATATAATTACACTAATTCACTTCCAAGTAGGGGCCAATCTTCGCTTCACCAAAATCACATTTTGTGATTATTTTAATTTTACTGGCAACAAAATCTAGTGTTTGGTAATTTTTTGTGCCAACATTCCATGCTACTAAAATTTGAACATCGATGTTTACTATACAGGTGACATCACAGGTAATTAATTTCATCTGCTTACACATGCCAAGTGCTGGTTTTGAAAACTGGCAATAGAATTTTGAGGTTGGTGATTTTTTTTGTATTCCAACTATTTATGAACCAGAGCAGTCCCTGCCAAGATAAGTTTTTTTTTAATGTATACTAGACCACCGTGACCCGTTGGGTCAACCACTATTCAGAGGTTATGAACTTCAACATTTCACCAAAATGAAGGTTTATTTTGAGATAATTTAATTAAATATTTAAATCCAATTGTGTTATTCATAATTCAAGAAAAGATATTTGATTGTTGATCAGGAGTAAAAGGAAAGACCATTTCATTTTCAAAAAGTGAAGTAAGAAGTTTCGTAAAGAGTGCGAACAATAGTGTGAATGATTTTTTTGACTGAGAAAATCTCAGAGTTTTAGTAGCACATAGATAGATTCTTCAAGATCTTGTTTTTGTCATCTTACGCCTTTTAATGAAGATGGAAACATTGACAGGGAAATAATATAATAGCCAATGCTTGGCAAGAGGTTTTCATTTATAAAATTTTGTTGTTCTTGACTTGATTTTTATTTTATTACCTCGTCTCCATAGTTACTATTTGCAAATAGTCAATAGTATTGTACATCCATTTTATTGTTGTTCTTTCTACGAGCCATTATAACACATTTTCATCTCATCATTTAATTTCTGTTGTGCATATATTGTGACCCGAAAAACTGCCGCTAACTCGGTAACCCATGGCTCGGTTTTAATGAAAAACTTGATTTATTCAGTTTCTATTCTCATTTCATTACAAATATGGCGCTATTGTGCACCGTTTTTGCTGTATTTAATTACAGACAAGCACACAAGCAAACAATCTAAAAGTTTTAGTAGTATATAGATAATATATATATTGAACACAAACATTATCCTTTACATAACATATAGTAAACATAAGTGTTACAAGTAACACATTCATTTTAAAGTTCAACATAAGGTCACAACAAAAGCAGAATACAATGCTTAATCAACTGTTGAAATATTAATACCATAAAAGATTAGAAACCCAATTTTTAGCATTGTAAGCTTACCACTCAGTCACCAGTGGTGGTGGACAGGTGGGGGCACATTTCAATCTATTTAACTTTACTGAGCATTAAGTTTCATAAAGGACTGCATAGTGTCGAGTTATCAAACTAGTTATGTCTGAGCAGTGGCTACATTGCACAAACATGTGAGAACAAGAGTGACCAACAAAAAATTACAATGAAACTACAACTAAAAACAACAACAGTTTATATGAAATCACTTCAAAAGGAAATGGAGATGTTGTCAAGTAATTACTTATTACTGTTAATGTTGTATTCTCATGTACACATTTCTAGCAAGAGGTTCAGCAGAATATATTTTGTAGGGGTTAAATCTAAGTTTCCTACTGTCTGACTAAAGAGACTGGATACCTGGTGTCTACTAGTTCTTCCATCATTCAAATTATGAAGTATTTCCTGCCTAATAGCTCTGGAACCCACTAGTTACATCACACATTGAGAACTACAACTCTTATGTTTATAGTAATGGTACATCACACTTTCCTGAACTTTTAACTGCTCATATTAATGCCAAAGGTTATGTTCATTTAAATTACATTCGTCATCTGAAAAGGTCATGCTTTTCCTTGCTGCACAACTAGTATCACATAAGCTACATGCTACACCCAGGTTCTTAAGTTGCTCTACCCAGAGCTCCTAAAGTACCATGGAGCTCAACTACTATTAGAAATATTACACACTGTCTGGTCAGCAATCTCTGTTGCTACAATGGCTTTCAAAGTCTCAGAGTGCCCAACATCTGGACATATAACAAATGGATAAACTCTCTGCATTTATATGTTGTTGGTCCAAAAAGTGATGTACAGCAAATTTGTACTCATGCAATGTTGTCATATTAGAAACGAACAAGCTCTCACTGGCATAGATGTACAATAAATTCATATTCATGTAATATGTGCAACCATAAATTCCAAATTTTTGAAGTTCCTCGGTAAATTCATTGAAAAAGGGTCAATGTTGAAAGGTGAACTTTTTTCCATACATGTAATGGCAGTAATGCTTGACAAATACTACAAATGCAAGCACTTTTGTTCTGCAGGATCTACATTCAAGAGCCATTAGTACGTGTGACTACATATTCTACTGTCACTGATGCAATTTTCTAGGATGAATGAACTGTCTTGTCTCAGTATACTAACACTAGATAGATCCTCAACTAAAGCATGCTTTGGTAATAAAGTTCATGCCTTTATTCAGAGCATACAATGGCACAGTATTCTAAGAGAAACTGGCCAGGAAACATCAATAATATAACACAAAGCCTGTTTTGTCACTGTTTGCAGCCAGTCTAACTACAGAGAACTTTGCAGGATTAGTAGGAATTCAATCCCTTCTCACAATCTTACTAAATAATTTCTTTTGTGAAGCCAATTTCTGAATAAAAGAGTTATCGGTAGATATTTTGTCCCTTCGCACAATGTTACAGAGAAATTCCTTTTGTGTATGCATAATCACACAATTTCCTGGCTTCAGTTTTAAACATTCTTTCCTTATTTACTGAAGAACCATGCCCAGGCATCCTTGCACTTGTCAACATAATAATCACATTGTCTCCTTCAACTGCCTCATGTGAGAAGTTGTTCAGAACATAAATGAAATGTTATGCGAGAAAGTTCAGCAACACCAAATGGGAGAAATGACCTTTGACAATGTGCAACTAACTCAGGAATAAGGTCACAACTTTCTATAACTGGTACATCTATGCATTTAACCAACACACATAAGTGGGAAATATTTAATGAACAAGAAATTTTCACCTTTCTAAACTGAGAAACAATTCATATGGTACTTTCCAAACACCACATTAAAAATGTATCTATAACTTGGGGTGTTTTACACCTGCCAATATACATGTGAGTGTAACTATTACATATGGTCTACTCTGAAAAAAAACCAAAAAAAACAAAAACAAGATGGTGTCAAGACCATGTAGCCATTGACCATACTTAATTCTTGGTCACCTTGTATAAATTGAAACATGTATCAATTACTAACATTAATGAATTATTTCTTCTCATTTTATCTAATTTTCTTGAATTTTATTTAGCATCTCTAATATGGTACAGACACACACACATTTACGAGAGCAGCTGTGCTCTGGTAATCTATTAACCCAATAACACTTCATAAATATGTTGCAAGTAAAATCTTTGTAACATGCTTGCTTATCTTATGGCAAGTTTGCAAAATACATTGAGCTAGGAAAAAGCACTACCAAATCCAATTATCATGTTTTAAGTTTTATTGTTTGATGAATTTTGAATAAAGCTGTTTGAGGCTATCTACACTAGCCTTTCCTAAGTTAGTCAACACCACTCACTGCCAAAAAGTAATTAAGAGACATTTATAAATCCACAGTTTATACCGCAGCAGACTAATCTGGCAGATAAAATTTTTTAAGACTAACTAGTTTAATTTCTACAGCATTTGAAAATATTTTGGAACAAACACACCATAGGAAACACTACAAGATTAACCAAGTAGTTATTAATAATATCTGAATACTTTGTTGTAGGTTACCATCTTTGTTGTGTACTGTAAAATAAAATAAAAAGGTGCTTAAGCACAGATAAGGATCCGTTAAAACAAAGTACAACTTATTAATATACAAGGAATACACATTCCTTGATTTAAATACAAAGAAATTGCCTGAAAATATTATCCTTTTTTTTGACACTGTAGTATCAATGGATTCTCAGTAACCATATTCGTCAACTTGCTAGCTTTTCACCAACCATGTACAAGTAGTTGGCAGATTTGTCCTACTGTTCATGTCAAACAGTTTTCCATGTTGTTTACAATTCTCAAAGTCATTCAGTGACATGTACAGTTTAGTCAACCTACAAAAATTTCAAAGCTATTAAAATCATTGAGTATAAAGTTACCAACAGAATTCGAACTTTGTGTAAATTAATAGCTTTATTAATCATCTTAACTGAAGTGTTTACTTTCTAAGTCAAAGCATAAAAGAAAAATGGATACTGCTACCTATCATCACAACACGTGATCAACCATCCGGCATTCAATTCTAGCTAAATAGGTAGACCTTCACTGAAGAAAATTATTATATAAATGTAGAAAAGTTACTAGCTGATATGCATTTCTTTCCTTAGTTTTCGATGTAGTAGTAATACATGCATTTTGCGAGTTACTTTCAGGCAATGTATATGAATCTTAGCAGACTGTTAATATCACTAATCCAAGTTAACATATGTTCACTATTTAAAATTGACATAAAAATACACACTTATTATATATACAAATAAAAGATTAGAACTGAGCCATAATATCTTACTTACAAAAAATTAATTAAAATGTTGTTAGTTGGCACAGTATATAAAGAAAAAATATTTTGGAACTACTATTAGAATAAAACAAACCGTAACAAAATTTAAGTAAACAAAACAATACAGAATTACAAAAACAGTTTATTTAATAATACACTGCTAGATGTTCAAAATTTTGTGTAACCACTGAAACTTGTGCAATTATTGGACATACATTATCAAATGTGTACATAAATTTATTCACAAAACATGAAAACGGAATAAACAAGTAGACATTTATTCACAAAAACCTACCAGCGTTCTGTCGTAAGGACCCTCCACCAGGTCTCAGAAAGCTAGAGCTACGAACTACAGAGCTTAAAGGCTGTTTACAGTTGTTGTTAGGAAGACATGTCTGAATGGATGTCATCATGAGACCTTTAAAACAGATTGCCTCCAGGATTCAGAGAATGGATTTGTGTTTGCACAAACTTCATCTTTCTCCCATGAGAAAAACAAGTAATTCCTGTAAAAGTTTTTTCAAATCAAGGATATGATACAAGTATATAAATAAAAACAAAATATTTCAAAACTGCTTGCCCATTGTGTTAGAAATGGTTTTCTACTTTCATAGGGGTAGATAATATTTTAAGTTATGTTAGAATATAAAAGATTCAGTGACAAAAGGCCATTCATCCCATCATGGTCACCCAACAAAGAAATAAGCACAATCTAATTACATAATCTCTTATGACTATAAAATTACCCAATGATTTTTAAACACCTGAATTGGGTCACCCATAGTTCTTCAGTACTCCAAAGAAAACAAGTTCACAGATTACTTGTTTCAAATTAAGGATCATTATGATAGCATACCTCTGAGGATTTACAAGCAGATCTATATATTTTCTATAATAAAGGGACCAAAACATGACTACCAATGTTTGATGGTGCCATGTGCAACATATAAACTTGGCACTTTCAACAAACTTATTATTATTCTAAGTATTCACAGTACACTATATAAACTACTATAATCATTAAAAAATATAGTTTTGAAAAAATATTGTACACACATTTAATTTATCATTCAGCAAAGTTTGAGTTTTGAATATAACCACTCAATGAATTCTTAGTAAACAAGCTGAAGCTACACACGTGTAACTTCCAGGCAGTTGACTGTTTGCAAGCACACATTCAACAGGCAATATGGAACTGTCTGTCCCATCTACAAGGGATGCCTTGATACAAGTAAGCAGTCATTAGTTTTCTCTGTCAATCAATCGGGCAATCAGCGACCCCCTTGATTTGGTGCCTTGCGCGAACACACTGCACACAATACCTATGGTACAGCCTTGGGACCAAAACTAAACAATAAACTATAGCCTAGACATCCACAGCTTACACTTATTTCCACCAATATCTAAGAGTTCAATCTCAGCCTTAACTTTCCATTATTCTAACAAATCTCCCAATACGTAGTTTATCTAAGCTCTAATGGTTTTAAACATCTAGATCTGATGTTCGAGAACATATGCTTAAGTCTTTCAAATTTGGCAGCCCATCCCTAGAATAGATTTGAAAAATTTTTAAAATACATTAATTTTGATTCAAGATTGCAAGATGGCTCTAGGCCTATCTTTCTTGTAGCTTTTTTTTAGTACATATTAGATGTCAATAGGTCATACTTAGTTTGAAAAACAATGCAACAGTAAATTATATAACTTATTGTTTTTGTTTTCAGTCCAGAGCACTCGAGTAAAACTGTGTGATACTTCAGCAGTGGTAGCATTCATCCGCACATAGGAGACTCATGTCTTAGATACTGACTGCTACTACATAATTACTTTGTCCAACATAGAACCCTCGGGTAAGATGTATAGAACTGAAAACTTTGCTTTCAAAGATCAGATCATAGTTAGAACCTAGATCTAGAGAATCTACATAGTCCACGTTTTTGTATCTAGCCGATACAGCTGCAGGTTAATCACATAGCACATAAGCAATTGTGTACCTGCACATGATATGATGGCAGGTTGTTACTTGGAAACTCTCAGAGCATGCTCGTAATATAGAATATGGTTACTAGTGTATTGTTAGCTTGCTAGTAGTGTTGCAAAATGGTTACTGTTATTGCTTCTTGTTACAAAGGTTATAAGTAAAACTAAGAAAAACAATTTTAGACAAGGCAGCATAATTCATTCATGTGCATTTAAATTTGCATGAGGTGAAGGGAGAAGAGAGCTATGCCTTTACAACAATGTTAGTCAGTCAGTCATATAGATTTACAAATTTGTAGTTCTGTGGAATCTTTGTTCTTACTCTACCGACTTTCTCAAGTGCTTTGGCAGCTTGTTACTGTGCAGTTGGTTTGTTCAATATTCAGCAGTGTGTGTAAAGTGCTTATAAAGTTTTGTTTACATGCTGTTTGCAGTGTGATTGAGATTTTAATTTGTATTGCAAGGTTTTTCTTGAGATTTTAAGGAGATCAAAGATCATAAATCAAACCTCTTTACATTTTCGTAGACTAAAAAAATGTCCGAGGATTAGAGAGATATTTTTGGACATAAAACCAAAAATACTGTCTCTCACAATGTTTAGCCAGCTCAGGAAATTTAGAAGTTTAGGTTAGTCCTAAATCCATATACTAAGCTGACAATGCAAAATAATCTTTATAATAAAAGTATAATAATAATAAAAACTTGTATATATTAAACACACTGAACAATACTGCTAATGGAAGTACCATTAAAAAAATACTTATGGAACACATTAACACTAGCTGCTATCTTCAAGCACTGTGTTACTTGTTATCTGGACTAAGGAAAGGGTGCAAGATTTTCAAAAAGCTTTTTTTAAAGTATTGTACAAAAGACTAGCTAAAAAACATTATATAAATAGAGGTTTGTGAAAGACAAGTTATTTGATTATTAGGGTGGTTTGAATGACAGAAAACAAAAGGTTATTACTGAAGAAGTTCAGTCAAACTAGACCCTTGTTACTATCGCAGTATCTCAGGAGTAAGTTCTTGGGCATTTGGTCTTTCTTCTTACATTACTGATATTGATAAGGGTAATAATAAGCAAATAATTATGAAATGCACTTGGGTTATCATAATTTGGATCACATTTTGCATATTGGAATTCACTCAATAGCATGATTGCAGAAAAATATTTTGTAATAGTAATGGATATATCGCTTAAGATGCAGAAGCATTGACCTGCTATTTACATATTGATTATCATTGCCATCTGTTTGAAAAATGGGTCTGGCTGTAAATATTCTGTAAAATAAAACAGCTCCCAGGGGTTGTTAGCATTTCTTTTCTCCAGTTGCATTTTTTAAGTGGTTTAGATACTGTGGAGGTTAGATATGCAGCAAGTAATGAAGAGGTACATATAAGGCTACTCCCACAAAACAAAAAGAAGTTCAATGATGTGATACAACTAGGTCATGGTGAAAGTTTTTGAAAAGTCAGTTAACACATTACTATTTAAATTGATAGAGTATCATCATACTTTCTAAGAATAATTTCAATAATATATTCATAATAAGCTATACATCATGTGTATCATACATAAAAATTTAGTTCAAGCCTGAGCTAATCGAGAAACTTATCAATGCACTGTGCATATGTACAGCAACGGTAATCATCAGATGTGACACAGGATTATTTCTAAGTGCAAACTGCTAACAGTAAGATTGGAATATATGGTTGTACAACAAATGCTACACTTTTCTTGCTTGCAAAGTAACATAAAAAATGATTTCAAAACAAACTTCACAAAAGGCTAACAGACTCAAAAAGGTTGCTGGATGTTAGTGACAAAGTTCCTCCAAGATTAAACAAGGGAGAATCCTCGATAGCCACAGCATTTGAAATTATTTTAGGCAGGATTAGAGTAAATTAATCTATGTGACCTTTTTTCCTTTTTATTAGCTATATCTTTGTGTGCCAGCAATACCAAGCATGGGGTGCATGTATACCACATTTGATTTTACTCATCAGGATCTCTACCAGCCTACCCTCAAATTGAAATTCTTTTATGCAAGAGTTGAGTAAATTAATCTATGAGGCCTTGGGCATGGTCAAATACATCAATCAAAACTTCCTGAGTCCAAAACTGTAATTAGATCCCAAATCACTCAAGAGATGAAAGAGCTATGAGCTAAAAGTTTGTATTTGAAAAAAAACTTAGAACTATCCTATGAGCTGCTATGCCATGGCTAAAAAGTAGAATGGGCATATACAAAGCCAAAGGAGGTGGGTGATTACCTGGCATTTATTGAAAACCCTAATGGAGGCAATTCTTGTTCTATACAAATCACTAGTTAGGCCTCACTAAGAAAGGATACTGACATACTGGAAAGGGTACAGAGGAGAGCTTCTAAGATAATTCCAGGGATGAGAGCGTTGTCTTACAGGGTTTGTTTCTCTCGAGAGAAGAAGGATAAAACAAAATTTTATGGAAGTTTTGAGGATAAATCTTTTGTTTCTATTGTAAAACAGATCAACATTTTTTCAATTCATATTATATAAACTTGAGAAGGAAGGGTTACATTGTTTTTCTCCTTATTCCTCTTTAAACATAGGCAGATGAGAGTTTAATGAAGTGAATGAGACAACCATATTATCTCTCATATGTTACTGTTAATACTTTATAAAATATAACAAGGAGTTATAAACATGGCCTTTTCATAACTCATAAAGAAAATGATGATTCTCAAAAACAAATAAATTTATTACAAAATAATATTATTATATTTCAGGTATGTAACTGCTGGGCAAAAAGCCTCATGAACTGGATTATGTGGATATAACAGATGTAGTGTGGTTGACATAATATATTCTCCTTTACTTTCAGTTTCACTCATGGGTTCTTGGTGTTATATATTTTGGAAGTGAATATAGATTATATAATTGAACTAAACCCTCAAGCCTAACAATAGATTGCAATTTGAAAAACAGCAGAATTAGTCTATAAGTTACAATATCCATGCTGAAAAATGACAAGTTCAATTTCAGTAGGCCTACATCATCACCATTTTACTGTTGTTAGTTTAACACTTACACAGTGTATTCAAATAAAGTTTTGTTTTTCTTTTACTTCTGTAGCTTAAGCGCTCTTTTTTACACTTTTTAGACTTAATAAATTACTGTAAACCAAATTAAAATTATCAACACGTTTCGACAGAACACTGGTTTGTCAAAATCTGTGATGATGATATCGCATGTTCTCTGTATAAATTTTTCATTAAGCTTATCGTTATCAATCACAAGTACGTAGAAGACACAACAATGTTCTATCTAAGCTATTAAACTAGCATAATCATATGTTCCATACACAGGCGAAGAACTTTACTTGCTACTGTGTTAGTGTTACCGTTAGATCGATTTCTCAAAACATTCTTTAACTGAACTTAGGCTTAAGTCGTGACTTTACATTAAAACGAACCCAAAAGTTCAAACTCGGTAGACTACTAACAGTAACACTATGTAAATCACTAAGTAAATGTTAACCTTTAAAATATAAAAAGTTAATATATTTTAGGATCTTAATTTGGCTCTTTCGTAATTTATAGGAAACAGGGCCTACAATTTATATTGCACAAGATTTTTAAAAAAACATTCTGCAAAGAATGCATCTCAGCCTCAAAAATATCACAAATCTTAAAATAAAGAAGACTAAGTTACAAAAAACATCACACTAAAGTTAAATTTTAACTGGCCTAAACTGTCAAATTAAGTTATACTTAAGTTAAAACTTAAAGTGCTAAGGTTAAGCTACATTAGATTAGATCATGACATCTGTGTAATCTCTCATCATCTTCGTGATATTAATAAGATCATTAACACTTTCATTTATCAATTATACCTTGTATTAGTTATTAGATTATTAATATTATTATACACTGTCGCCAAGAGATTCTCATGTTCATACTGTACTACACTCTGTTGTACTCGGCAAAAGCCCTGTATTCTATTTCTAAATTATACACCACAGTACTGTAACTTGTAAGTAGCTGTTAATTTTATTGTAATATTATTGATACTAATAGTAATAATGTTAGTGTTTATGGCTTATGCTACAGCAATGTTACAATTTACAAGTGTTACTATTAGTGATAATATACATATAAATTAATTAAGTTGCGTTTATTCACCTTATAACTCATTTTCCTATTTAACTTCAAGTCAAAATACGTTTTCGTAAACGTCAAACCAAATTATAACCCAACATTCAAAGCGCAAATTAAAAACAAAAAACCTGATGTTGTTGAAGAAGAAATAGGCTTAACACGTAACGGTAAATAACTTTCCTGTGATCCTTTATGACAACCTCACTTCTACAATACGGGAAATACACCTTGACTCTTCGTCCAAGTTGGACGAAATCGCAGCTACTGTGTGTTGATCCTTTACGTCATGACAACTAAAAGCTACGTCAACCAATCGTAGAAAGTGAACCGAAGAGCGCTAAATTTATTTTACTAAATTAACAAAGCATAAAAAAGACCTGGGAGGAAGAGGTCTATTTTGCACTGATCCTCATAGGTCCAAACAAGGACCTATATTCCGATGAAGCAGAACAAAAAATACCAATCAAAGTAACTAAAGAAAGCACGGAAAATATAAAAAAGCACATTCAAAATGGATTAATAATATGGTTTGAAAGGTACACAGTGGAGGAAGCTAAAACACCAGCAGTTGTAGTAACGTAGTGTTTTAACTGTCAAAGATATGGGCATGTGGCAGCTGCTTTCAATCTATCACACGATGTGTTGAATGCGGCCAGAACTCATGAAAAAGCTAAATGCTGCAATGGTAACGAGGAACATACTGCCAATTATATAGGATGCCAGAAATATAAAGACATAAAACAAAGGATAGATAACATAAGAAACAATATAAACAATACAAACATGACAACAACAGAACACAAACTAAAAAATAAATCGCACTACCCCCCAAAAAAAAGACTCCACTGCTACCAACATCACCAACACGAAAAGCCAACGCAAGTACAACATAAAGAAGAACATATTCGGTGGTAACACAGCAAGAAACACAAAACGAACAAACAACCACAAAGTAGAGAAGAACACCAGAAACCAACAAATGAGCCCAGTAGACAAAGTACAAACACTAATAATGAAGGTAACAGAGAATTAGCAACAGCAATTACAAATATAATCACCGACTTCATTCAATAATATAGTAAACCAAATAACAACGCGGACATTATAACATTGATTATCAAATTCATCAGAAAACACCTACAACATCTAATACCACATGTAATACACAAAATTCTAACTAGCATCATACTGCAATGAATACTCTCACTGTATTACACATAAATATCCAAAGCTGCCTTGTTTCCAAGCGGCATGAGATCGAACACGTTGCCACAAACACATCGGCAGATATCATATTTATCACCGAAACAATGCTCTATAACTACCATTCCTTCAAAATGACAGGATACCAGGTAGGAAGAATAGACGGAACAAACAAAGAATCCTCAGAACGGGGCATACTACTCCTATAGAAAAAACAATTATCTATAAACACAGTACATTTATCGTCAAAAAATGAAGATATTGCAATAAATGTCCTTCTAAGCAATAACCAAATAGTCACAATAGCAGGTATATACTGCTCACCACAAAACAAACCATACACTACTACATTAATGCACCAACATTAATAAGATTCAGATACATGCATACTAAACGATACAACACAAACACATATCACTCCAGTGATATACTAGACCTGTGTCTGTGTTCACCAACATTAATAAGATTCAGATATATATGTTGGTGTTGTATAGTTTAGTATGCATACCAGTGATATACTAGACCTGTGTATGTGTTCACCAACATTAATAAACAACTTTCTAACATTCAACGTATGAGAAGATTCAGACTGCGACCATTTACCGATACGGAGTGTATTCGATCTCTCACCACACCGAAATCAAACCAAACAAACAAAAGTATTTAATTACATAAAAAGCTAACTGGAAGAAATATGAGGAAATATTAACAGAGCTTCTCCAACATGAACCAATCACAACAGCCTATCCAAACCAAATGGCAACCGATCACTTACATAATCAACAAAATTTTGGAACGAAGAAAATTATAAAGAGAATATATGACAACCGGTGCCCCACAAACAAAAAACACAAATAAATACGCTTAGAAACAAAATTAGAAACAACATTAAGTTACTAAAATCACAAAAATGGGACACCTTCTACACACGAATAAACTCAAAAACAGATCCCAAAGATTTCTGGTCCCATATAAAAAAAAAACTACAAAGTCAAATAAAAAAATATCAACACCTACCGTAGCTACACTAAAACATGATAATAAACTAGAGTACATGGATAAACAGAAAGCACATGCCTTTAAAGAACAACTCCAAAAAAGATTCAAAACACCGGACGGCTCAAACATAACAATCACTTTATGAACAAGGTAAATAATTATATCACAACCAGTCGTATTGTATATATATACACCACACTTCACTAAGGACTATCAACACAATAACATAATAACAGAAGCGGAACACGACTACACAACAATACTATTTATCAGACCCATCACAGTAACAGAAGTACAAGAAAACATAAAACTTCTGAAAAACAAAGCACCAGGACAAGACATAATTCAAAACATATTACTCAAGAAAGTCCCTCTAAAATTATTAGAATATCTCACATCTTTATACAACTTATCTCTAGAAACAGGATACATACCAACCGCTTGGAAACAGGTTGATGTTATTATGTTTCAGAAAGAAGAAAAATCAGAGAGTAACCCTGAAAATTACAGGCCCATAAGTTTTACAAGCAATCAGTTGAAGAAACCATAAATAGTAGACTCATAATTTACCTTGAAACTAAATTAATACAAAAATGGGTTCCGAAAAGCAAGACAAACAACAGATCATCTCATGACTATACATTATTTTTTTTTATTAAAGCAGTGTATTGTTTCTTCCGTTAATCTTGCATGCTTCCTAGATGTTGAAAAAGCACTCGATTAAGTATGGCACAATGAACTCAGATACAAATTGTTTAAATTGGGACTCCTCATAGAAATTATTCGCTGGGTTTCTAACTTCTTGGAAGATAGGAGCATCAGAGGGAATATTGAGGGCACAGTGCTGCACTCCGGAGGCGGGTGTACCTCAAGGAAGAGTACTTAGCCATACACTGTTTATCATGTCTGTCAGCGACATGCCTCTCAAAGACCCAAACCACACTTTTTTCTCACAGTTCGCAGATGATGTTGTAACCTGGAAGAGTGCTCCAAGCCTAACAACAACAACATACAATATACAACCGCTACTAAACGAAACAGAATTGTACTATAATAAGTGGAGAATTAAAATTAATGCACACAAAACACAAGTCATATTATTTACAAAATCGTACAAAACAAGCAAATTAATACCAATTACGAAGACAGTACATGGCAAACAGATATCAAACAATCAAGACACAAATAAATGCACTCAGAACCAAAATACGAACAGAAGTTAAACTTTTAAAACAAGAACAATGCGACCAATTCTGCTCTCAACTAAATGAAAACAACAGAACCTAAACAATTCTGGACCCATCTAAAACGATTCATAAAGGGGGAAAATACATCACGTAAATACCCACCACTCGAAATCAACAACACTATAGCACACGCAAATGAAGACAAGGCAGAAGCCTTTAAACAACACTTACAAAACACGTTTCGAATACATCACGAGCCAGATATGAACACACACTTTTACAACAAGGTGAATCAATATATATATATAACAAATAACATCGATATGTACAAACCACTTTTTCAAACAAGTATAAATAACATTAAAACAACAAATGATGATAAATGAAATAACCGAAATTAAAGTTATACAAGCAATTAAAGCTACAAAGAACAAAGCTCTAGGCAAAGATAACACACAAGCCATCTTTCTCAAATTTTTTTTTATCAGAGATTGTTTGAACACCTTACGTCGCTTTTTAATTTATCACTAAACTCTTGATACATCCCAGTTTCTTCGAGACAAGCGAATGTCTTAATGTTCCATAAAGAAGGAAAGCCAGTCAATAAACCCAATATTTACCGTCCAATTAACCTGACCAGTACCATAGGCAAACTTCTAGAACGAATAATCAGTGACAGACTCTCCACATTTCTGGAGATAACATCTAAATTACAAAGTACAAATGGATTAGAAAATTCAGACAAATGAGTTATCACTTAGTTAGATTAACTGAATACATCATAGACAGCTTTAATATATAAAAAAAGAATGCACTGTCGCATGTTTTCTCGATATTGAGAAAGCATTCGACACTGTAGGGCATAATGGTCTCAGGTTCCCCATGTCAGAAAAGGAACTGCTGCGCGGTATTATTTGCTGGCTATCAAACTTTCTGGACAACAGAAAATGTAGAATCAACGTTGAGGGAACCTTCTCGGAGTCATTGGCTCCTGAGGCAGACGTCCCTCAGGGAGAAGTGGTTAGCCCTATTCTATTCATTATGTATGTTAACAATATGTCTCTAATAAAAGACCCGAATCACGGATACTCGTTATAATTCGCAGACGATGTGGTAGTTTGGAAAAGTTCTCCCACGCCATCAATTGCAGCCACAAACCTACAACCTAAAATAAATAGAACAGGCGAATATTGCGCAAAATAGTGCATTAAATATATGTCCCAAAAATCAGTCAGTAGTTTTTGCTAAATTAACAAAACACAAAAAAAGATCCACCAGTACTCCATTATGAACAGAACATTTCTTCAGACTACAACATCAGCAAAATTCTTAGGACTACCATATGATTCCAAATTAAGGTGGATCAAACATTTAAACAATATAAAAATCAAAGTTTGGCAACGCACGAACTATGCCAGGGGTCTAATGGGTAAAAATAGTGGAGCAACAGCTGGTAACAAAATCAAAATTTACAAAATATATATACGTCCAGTGACCGAATATGCATCACCTGCATGGACAATCGTAGCACCTAAACATATTAAAAGTAAATTACAAACACTACAGAACTCGTTACTTACCACAGCATACAAAGTACGAAGATCAACATCCTCACAATTCAAGAACAATTAAGTAAACACAGAAGCGTCAACCGAAAGACTCCTACGTAGTTCGTTAAATTATTTCGCGAAAAATTGGCACAAAAATGATTTACTATGTGAACTTGATCGTTACTGCATACATGATGAAGATAGCCCTAAGTACCTCTCCCCAATTAATATATATATATATATATAAGAAATAAAAATAAATTAAGGCCACTTAATGCTAGACTACTTAATTATCGTTAGTTTTAATTTAC